TCATGAATCCGCCAACTTCCTTGGGGTTCCCAGAGAGGCAGGGAGACCTATCCCCGGGCACACCCCGTGTGGCAGAGCCAGATCGCTGGTGCTCCAGGTATGCCCACCCCATCTGCAGCCGGCCTGGCTTGGGGAGGACTAAGTTACCCCGCCGCCCACCTGCAGCAGAAGCTGTGGGCCTGTGTCTTTCCATGCCCTTCCTTAGCTGGTAGACGACATGATGGTTAAGGTGCTGGACTCCATGCCCTTCCTTTCGCTCTTAAAAATACATAGTGGTGAAATACGCATTATAAGAAGTTTCCTATTGCAACCATTCTTAAGCGCACAGTTCATGACATTGACTGCATTCACATCGTTGTGCAACCCTCACCTCCATCTATCCTCTGAACCCTCCCTTTAGGGAGAAATATTTGTTCACTGGAGAGACAGAGAGACAAAAAGCGAGAAATCACCCCCCCCCCCCAGGGAACATGGCCAAACCATAGTCCCTTCTTCATTCTCCTCTCAGGATTTTTGGGCATGCACACTTATGTGCCTGGCATGAGTTTCAAACTGCTGGGTTTGGGACTTGAACCATGGTCGGTCTGGTTCTACACCACCTGGTAACGATCATTCTACTTTCTAGCACTACGAGTTCAACTGCTCCAGGAGCCTCTCATGAATAAAAACATATATTCATCCTTTTGTGTCTGGCTTAGTTCACTTAAGTGTAATGGCTCTGAGGTTTATCCAGGTGGAAGCTGATCAGAATTGCCTTCCTTTCTATGGCCAGATAAGATTCCATCACACTACTTCACACATTTCTTCTGTTATCCATCTGTCCCTGTCACCTAGGCTGTTCCCACCCTTTGGCTCTTGTGGGAAATGCTGCTGTAAACATTGGTGGCAAGTACCTGTTTAAGTCTTCACATTTTGCTCTTTGGGGTATAGATATTGGTGGAATTGATGGCTTGTATGGGAATCGTATGGCTTTCACAGAGACTGTGCCATTTAACATTCCCATCAGCGATGCCCGAGTTTTAGTTTATCTATGTCCTTGCCAGCATTTATTGTTTAAACCGCTCATTCATTTTGGCAATAACCATTTTTTAAAAGAGATTTTGTGGTATTTTTAAAGAATTATTTCAACTTTATTATCATTATTATTATTATTTTCCAGCTTGATCAGACAGAGAGAGAGGGAAAGTGAGAAAGCAAGCCTCCAGGTCCAAGACTTGAACCACAGTCAGCCATGTGGGAGTCCAGTGCCTTTAACCACCATGTCACCTGCCCGCCCTGTTTTTAGAGACTTTTGCTATAGGATGTATATGTTCTCAGAGAGACTAAGAAACAGAAAGCGAGAAATCACCTCTTCGGAGATGGCTGTACTGCAATCCCTTCTCCTCCATTCTCCTCTTGGGATTTTGGGCATGCATGCAAATATGCCCGGCGTGAATTTCAAGCAGCCAGGCCCAGGACTCAAACCACAATCTGCCATATGGGAGTCCAGTGCCTTAACCACTAAGCCACCTGCTGACCCCAGGAAACAGCCACCCTAATGCGTGTGAAACGAGATGTCTTTGTGGTTTTGATTTGCATTTCCCTAATGGTTAGTTACCATGAGCATCTTTTTCTGTGTCTGTTGGTCATAAAATGCCTATTCAAGTCCTTTGCTCATGTTTATTTTTTGTTATTATCTTAAACATTTGCTGTAGGGTGTATGCACTGGTCAGAGAGACAGAGAGAGGGAAAGTGAGAAAGCAACCACTGGGGGAATGATCACACCACAATCTCTTCTCCTGCATTCTCTCTCGGGCTTTCAGACACATATGCACACGCACCTGGAGCATTTTTCAAGCCACTGGGTCTGGTACTCAAACACAGTCAGCCATGAGGGATTAGCTGTCTTAACCACACCACCTTTGCCCATTTTTAAATTTATTTTTTTTCTTTTTGTCTTTCTCTAATTGCCATTTAACCCCAGACGCCTAGGTTTTTCTGAGTGGCCAGCACATTTTTTGGAGAAGAACTGACTTATGGCAGTTACACAGTTTAGGTCGGCTGTTCAGGTGAGAAAGACCCAGTTAGGCTTTGGTTAGGAGAACCGAACATTATCTGCTAATAAAAGTCTTAATCCAGAGGGTCACTGAACCAGACCAGTTCCTCATTCCAAACCCAAAACACCTCTGCGCATTTGAGTTTGTCAGGGCACTCAAGCCAAGCCTGCACGCTGAGAAAAAGAGAAGTCCTGCCCGGAAATTGAATCCTAAATTTTTTAGGATTCATTTTTAACATTTATTCATCTATTTACTCATTGTGATTTTTCAAGCCACTGGATCCAGGTCTTAAACCACAGTTGACCATGTGGGAATTCAGCACTCCAACTACCATGCCACCTACTGGCCCCTTGAATCCTAAATTTAACCTGTCCCTTAAAGCTAGTTGTCACCCTAAGAACATGTATGGAGATTTGCTAGTGTCCCTGTGAGTTCTGGCGTGTCACATGCCAGTCCCTAGTTATCAGCAGAGGATATTTTCTTCCTTTCTTTTTCTTTCTTCTTTTTAGAATGTTTGCCGTGGGGTACATGCACTTGCTGGAGAGAGGTCGTGCCGTATCACTTCTGCCAGTCTCCTCTGGGAGCTCGGGCACACGTGCACAGTGCCCGGCGTATTTTACTCCCAGTGCTGCCCTGCACTGCGTCTACTCCTTTTCCCTCTTGATCCTCTTTTCCCCCAGTTGTCCAGCCTCACCTCCCACCAGTCACCTCCCGTCTCTCTGTGCCTGTCCTCTCCGGAAGAAAAGATGTTGTGGGCTTCCTCTACCTGCAGGCCTATGCAGAGACCTTTGTCTTCTCACCTAGAGCACTGGTGACCTCTCTTCGACCTTCACAGCCCAGCTTGGATGTCACTTCCTCCAGGAAGCCCGTTTTCCAGATACTTACTTAATTGCCTTCTCCCCTGGCGGCCACTGTGCCTTGTCCCAGTCTGGGCTGTGATTGTTTTCTTAATTAACCTCGGATTCCCTCCCCAGACTGCAAGCTCCCGGGAGCCAGCATGGCCTTACTTGCCTTGATCCCCCAGCGTGGCTCAGCCTTACAGACAGAGGCCCTGTAGAGAGACTCCTTAGTGCTCAGCTGCAGGCTCCTCAGCCAGAGTGGCCCCTCCAGGGCTGGGCTAGCTGCCCCCACCCATTCCCCAGGGACTTCCTCTCTGAGAGTCGGTTTGCACGCTGCCTCTGAGAGCGCTGTCCTTCCCTGGCTAAGTGTGGAGAGGACAGGGTAGAAAAGAAGGTCTGTCTTCCACCCAAGCTGACGTCATCCTTCTAAATTTTTGTCCCAGAAATGCATTTTGCAAGCGCAAGAGCTGCAGGCCGGAGAAATTCAATGCTGGAGCCAGCAGACCACAGGGTTCCATATGGCGGGTTCGTTTGGGAGGAAGGCTGCACATTCGAGAGGCAGTGGGTCCTTCTGCAGAATTCGGTTCTGGTCTTTCTGGGATGTGAGCGTCTGCCTGGCTGGTAGGCCACACGTCTCCTAAGCCCGTCTCCAGGACAGACGGGCCGACCGAGAAGCTGAGACTTGCTCCTTTTCTGTCTCTCTCTACACCCACTGCCTCTGGGAAGGAACCGGGCTTCTTTCCAGGACAAAGGCAGGGGACTCGGGAAGAGATTCTTTCTCTCCGAGACTGCCGCCTGAGTGGCTGGCATCGCTAGATGCCCGTAATTAGCACGGCCCTGCTTGGAAATGCTTAGTGGCCCTGCACTCGAGGTCCTGTGCGTATGCCGCAGGGCTGAGCCTGGGGGTATGGAGGAGGTCGAAGGGCGGGAGAAACAGTCTCGGCTTCCTCCCTTCCATCTTTTCCCTCTCTTCCAGCTGCCAAATTTATCTTGCTAAAGGGAAGCTCTGCTCACAGCCCTCCTGTGCTCGGAAGCCCTCACCGGCTCCCGCCGTTCACAGAGCTCATTGACTTTCGGTGGCCCTGCGGCCTCCACGGCCTGGTCCCCTCAGTACTGCTTCCCTGCCTACTTCATGTTGATCAGCTGTGCATGTGGCTGTCTTCTCCCACTTTGTAAAGGCGTGTGCGTGTGTGTGTGTGCACGTGCATGTGAGCATGCGTGAGTGGTAATGTAGCCTTTACTGGCCACTGACAGGCCGCTGTCTATAGCACCACGCAGCTCATAACCGTCCTCTAACATGCCCAGCAAAGTGAGTGGATTACTTTTCTCATTCCAGTGAGAAAACCGATGTTCAAAAACCGAGGCATAGCCCAGGAAACCCGTGAAGCTGGGATTTGAACTCAGATCTGTTGGCTGGCTGACCTACCCTCTTTCCTTTGACGCTGGATCCCCCTAGAGGGCAGGACTGGTATCTCCCTAATTTTATATCCACTCCATCAAGTAGGTGGCCCTCTAAGCTGGTGCCTACTCTCCCCAGACAGGTCGTTAGAAAAGGCAAGTCGGATGGTACCCCCAGCCCCATTCCACCTTTGCTTAGACTGCTCATGTGACTTCTCATTGCACTTAGGATAAAGGCCAAAATGTCACCGTGGCCCTCCAGATCCTGTAGGATCTGCCCTCTGATGACCTGCTACACGCGTCTCCTGGGCCCCTCCAGCCACTCTGGCTGTCTCCCTTTTCCTAGAATACTTCACACTTTGTACATGCTGTTCCCACCCCCTGGAAGGCTTTTCCCTCCAGTGGTCCACTCCCATCATTCGGGACTTAGTTGAAATGTCACATTTGAACGGCACAGTCCTTCCAGGGCGGAGATGAATTTCCCTGGGCATTTTCCAGTGCTGTCCTCCCGCTCCTGTTCTCCTCTCCGCTAGGACGGCAGCTCTTTGAGGACAGTCCTGGCAGTGCTGTTAGGTAGTGCCGCCCAGTGCCAGCATGTGCCAGTGGGATCTTAGCAGATACTTGATTAAATAGATGACCGGCTTTTCCACCGGGGCCCGTGTCTGCCCTGGTGGCTATTCAGCAAATACTTGCTGCATGAATGAACAGAGGAGCAGATGGATGTGTGTGAGTGGAAGGTCATGTTGATCACAGAAAGTTTTGGGCTACATTTCAGAGGTCTAGGAGGGCCCAGCCTGGTGGCTGCCATCTTGTTCACAGAAGCCTGGAGAGCCCTGCGGGGAGAGTAAGTGTGAAAGGTGAACTTCCAACCCCACCACCACGAGGCCCTACTTGGTCAGAGTGCGTGCATTTCTTTAATCGCCACAAGGTGGCAGCCATGCACCCAGCTCGGGAGGAGCATATTTGTGGTTACTGTTCCCTGGTCCTTCCCGGGAGAATCAACTACTCTGTCACCCTCTGTGGTTGTTCTGGTTCAGCCCTGCCCACTTATACAATGTATCAGAGCACGATGCAAAAGCAGCTCACGGAGCCTGGCAATGCATTCCCCAGCTAGACGGGTACTTACTCGGCGGTTTGAGGGGCTGGGGTGCATCAGTGGCACTGAGCTGAGTGTCTTCTCGTGGCCCTCGCATTCTAGCTGGGAAGACAGGCAACAAGCAGTAAGGGTAGCACATAAGGAAATCATGAAGCCCGTTAGAAGGTGAGAAACACGAAGGGAGTACATGCCGTGCAGGGCCACAGGGACTGGGAGGCTGAGGATGGGAAGAACGGGGCAGTTTTAAGCGGGGTGGAAAAGGAGGGCCTCATTGATGACAGGTGAGTAAGGACGAGAAGGAGGCAAAAATAGTAATTAACATGGTTTATTCTTTTATTTATGTTTTTTTTTTTTTAGAGAGAGATTTTTGCTATAGGATGTGGTTGCTTGCTGGAGACAAAGACAGAGAAACAGAAAGTGAGAAGTTGCCCCCCAGGGGGATGGCCATGCTGCGATCCCTTCTCCTCTCAGGATCTTGGTCACACATGCACCTGTGCCTAGCATGAATTTTAAGCTGCTGGGCCTGGGACTCGGACCACAATCAACTTTGTGGGAGTCCAGTGACGTAACCATTACACAGTCTGCTGGTCCCCTAACATGGGTCATTCTAGGCACGAATCTGAGTGCCCAGACCTGGAAACACACACGTGTTTCAGGGTGCTTAGATATGGCAGTTCTTTTCCTCAGTTCTGAGAGAAGGAGGCACAAGAAATTGTGGAGCAGCGTAGGATGTCTTTCCATCAGCCTGACCCACAAAAGTGAGCCATCTGGAAGGGGGACTCATGGGTTACAAGAGGGTTAGGAATGTCTTAGGTTAGCACTTGGTTAAATCTCTGAAGCCTGCCCCCGAGAGACTTGGGGTCAGCATTTTTCCGAGTCCCACTGGTAAGGAGGCCTTGCTGTTTCTCTGGTGGCGCTGTCAGGGCGGGCTGCGAGGGGCTGTCTGTGGTCACTAGACCAGAGCCGTCTGTTATGGCAAGGCTGGGGTCAGTAGACGTGAACCCCGGGCCCCTCAGAAAGCCTCTCAGAGCAGGAAGAGCAGTCAGAGATCTGTCCCCAGCCATAAACTCGCACAAGCTGAGGTGTCAGACTTGAATTTTTGTTTTGTTTTGTTTTTAGAAAGAGATTTTTGCTATTGGGCACATGCGCTTGCCAGACAGACAGAGAGAGACATAGAGACAGAAAGTGAGAAATCACCCCCCAGGCGGGATGGCCACACCTCAATCCCTTCTCCTCCATTCTCCTCTCGGGATCTCGGTCACACGCACATGTACCTGGTGTGAGTTTAAGCCACTGGGCCCGGGACTCGAACCACAGTCGACTACATGGGAGTCCAGCGACAGAGCCATTGCACTATCTGCTGGTCTCCCCAGACTCGAATTTAAACCTGTTTTGTGCCCCTGGTTGGATGGACTCGGGCAGTTGCTGAGCCTCTCCGAACCTCAGTGTCCTTAGTAGCAAAGTGAGAAAGGGCCAGGACAGACATCCCTGCCAGGACCTGGGGCCGCACATGAGAAAGCTCACGGCAAGGGCTCAGCGTGGAGCCAGGCACGGCACGTCCCGTGGATGACGGCTCTTACCCTGTCACCATGACAGCCCTCAGCTGGTGTTCATGACACGCACTCCGTTTTCTGCTTTGCGAATGAAGGCTATACCTTCTTTAGGTGCCCAGGGACCGACTCCAACAGTGGGTCCCTCTACAGTCGCCACGAACAGTTAAGCATAAAGGCAGGAAGTGTATGGTCCATCTCCACTGATGGCAATCCATAAAACCGGGACATATAACTCGGCTTTAAGCTAAAAGAGAAAAGCCCTGATGACTTAGAAGTGGAAGAAAACAAAAACGAAAGCCATCTTCCTAATCGGATCTTGAGCCCAGGAGGAAATCGGCCAATAGGCTCTCATTACGACTGCAGAGCTGTGGGCTTTCGGGCGCCCTGTCCAGGGGGCAGGGGCTTTGGTTCTCAGGGACCCGACACACGCTCTTTTCTCAGTGGAGATGGGGACAGACCAGGAGCTTCCTGTAGGCACTGAGGTGAGCAGGAAACACTGGAGACAGACAGAGACAACCCAGAAGGGCTGCCTGGGCGTGGAGCCAGGACCAGTGGCGACTTCGGCTGTGGCAGTGGGCCCTCATTGTGAGGTTTAACGCAAGGAAAACGAATGCAGGAGGACAGTGGCTTTCCAAGTGGCGGCATTAAATGGAATGAGGATTCTTGGGAAGTCCTCGCTGGAAATGGAGAGCGTATTTGCTGCTTTGGGTGGAACAGGACAGGAGGCCAGAGGGTGGAATTAGCGATGAAACAGCAAGATACAGAAAGGGAAGCAGGACATATGGAAAATGCAAGCAGCATAATGGATAGGTTACAGAGGAGGACAGGAAACGGAGCCGTCCGGTCAGAAAGATGAACAATTCAGCTGCATTAGACTGTGCGGAAGGGGCTGGAGGAGAGCCAGTGAAGAGCCCGAGGGTAATGGGAGGCGGAGCTGTGGGCCCTGGCTGTGTGCCGTGGGGGATGCCACAGGGGCGCAGTCCTCCAGTGTCCTCGGAGCGGAGCGGGCAGACAGGTGTGGAGCGGAGCAGCACCAGGCCCCAGATGTGGCGAGTGAGACGCGTTCGTGACGCAGAGGCAGATCGAGACTGGCACAGCACGGGCTTGTGGGAAGGGCAGGCAGGATGCAGACATGCACCGGCGGGGCTTAGTGGGAGTGCTGCAATAGTTGGAGCACATTTGTAAATTTTAGAATTACTTATTTAATTTTATTTGTTATTATTTTTAAATTTGCTATTGGGCATGTGTGCTCACCAGAGAAAGAGAGAGAGAGAGAGAGAGAGAAAGTGAGAAACCAAGCCGCCAGGTCAGGGACCCGAACTGTGGCTAGTTGGAGCACATTTGTAAATTTTAGAATTACTTATTTAATTTTATTTGTTATTATTTTTAAATTTGCTATTGGGCATGTGTGCTCACCAGAGAAAGAGAGAGAGAGAGAGAGAGAGAAAGTGAGAAACCACGCCGCCAGGTCAGGGACCCGAACTGTGGCTGGCCATATGAGAGTCCAGCACCTTAACCTCTATGTCACCTGCTGGCCCCAGGAGTGAGAACTTTTGAATCCTTTGAGAAAGGGCTACCAGATGACCTTGGAAACAAGCCATGGTGGGCAAAGAGCACCACCAAGTGCAGCCTCCCGGCAGCTATGGAAACCCCGCTGGATTCAAAGGCTGTAAGAAGCACCACGTGACTCACCACGCGTGCCGCTGCCATCGCAGCATGAGTTTCTCGGCCGGTGTCTTTTTTTTTTTTTTTTTTT